TGGAAGTTACCGTGACCGTACCCCAATTTCTCTCTTAACTGGGTGGACCTCTGACCTCGGTTCTGCTCTGCTGCTCTACCTGTCCATTCCTGCATCCTGACAAAGCAAGTCTAATTATAGCAACGTCTATCTTATTACTTGTTGGGTACTTTCCTGGGTCATGAAGATGGAATTTCTTTTTTTTTTGAGAGATTTTCACTGTAGGGCGCGTGCGCTCGCCAGACAGACAGAGAGAGACATAGAGACAGAAAGCGAGAAATCACCCCCCAGGGGGGATGGTCACGCCGCAATCCCTTCTCCTCCATTCTCCTCTCAGGATCTTGGGCACACACGCACACGCGCCCGGCGTGAGTTTTAAGCCACCGGGTCCGGGACGCGAACCACGGTCGACTACGTGGGAGTCCAGCGACATAGCCATTACGCTAACTGCTGGTTCCCCCCTTTTTTTTTCTTAAAGAATTATTTTATTTAACTTTATTTATTTTATCTTATTTTGACCAGATAGGGACAGAGTGAAAGAGAGAGAAAGAGATAGAAAGTGAGAAAGCAAGCCGCCAGGTCCGAGACTCAAACTGGTCAGCCATGTGGAAGTTCAGCACCCTTAGCCACCACGCCACCTCCCGGCCCCATGATGGAATTTATTTTGCTTCTTTAAATTGTAGTTCTGGTTGACGGGTTTCATCTATTTTATCTTTATCAGCTGACTGAGTTCTGTAATGATCAGCAAATCAGAAAACTATATACTAGTGATTGTCTACTTTCCACTGGTAATTGGTTACTTATTTATTTATGAATTGCCACCAGATCCAGGACTCGAACTGTGGTCAGTCATGTGGGAATCCAGCGTCTTTAATCACCACACCACCTGTTGGCCCCGATAATTAGTGAAACTAGTGGCTGATGGTTTATTACAAATATTTATTTTGGTAAAAATTAAGCAATGATAGTGCATGCAGGTTCTCCACTAAGCCACTCTGTATGCCGACAAAACAGCATGTTTGCTCATTTTTCACACAAGTCAAAGGGAGTAAATAATTGGATTATTCAAATAGTGTACAAATTCTTTGACATAAGGTAATATGCAAACAATTTTGTTATATTTTTAGCTTCTTACATTTTTATTGTGATTATAATATTAACCAATATTAAAGACAAGAATAGAGAAAGGCTAAAGTGTCATTTTTCTCCTAGCCAGTAGTTGTTCTGCATATGGATACAGATATTAGAAGGTCAGATGATTTAGAAAATTTATACTGTATGGTAGTAACATGTTATGCAATTAACTATAAGAATCTGTAATCAAACTAAGCTACAATTTACTTCTGTTTTATAATTCAAAGGGAAAATCTTACATGTCTGTCTAGCTTTATATTAGGTTAGCTGAATGAGTCACAATAGATCAATATGTAAAAAGCAAACCCATCATATACACAAAATAAATATGATCACGTTTCTTTTTTTTTTTCTTTTTCGGGAGAGGTTTTTGCTGTAGGGCGTGTGTGCTCACCAGAATGACAAAGAGAGACAGAAAGCAAGAAATCACCCCCTGGGGGGATGGCCATACCACAATCCCTTCTCCTTTCTCCTCTCACGCATGCACACTGTGAGTTTAAGCCACTGGGTCTGGGACTTGAATCATGGTTGACTACATGGGAGTCCAGCGACATAGCCATTAGACTAACTGCTGGTCCTGATCACTTTTTTTTCTTAACTTGGCAGAGGGCACATATGGTAGTCAGAGATAGAGAGAAGCAGAGAAAGAGAGAGAGGGAGGGAGAGTGAGATAATACCCCTGCATGGGCTGTGGTTACACCACAATCCTTTCTCTGTTTCTCCCACCTTTTGGGATTTTGGGCACACACGCACCCATGTCTGGCGTCTTTTTACAAGTTACTGGGTCTGGGACTCGAACCGTGGGGCAGCCACGTGGAATTCAGTTCATTTAACCACCAGACCAGGGGCTAGCCTGCGATCATCTTTCTCAATAAACACATTCAACACTATAGCTTTGTTCTGAGCCTTGTACGGAAGCTGCCAACTGAAGGACATCCTATAAGACACCACGTACCTCTGTGGTCTGCTGTGCAGCTCTTGACATAACAGGAGGGTTCTTGTTATCCGGTGCAGTAGGATTAACGTGGGTACCAGGTGCCAGGGAGCGTGTCAAGGTTTGGTAGTGTTTAAGCAGTTTTTCGTTTCTCTCTTTCAGGGACTTCAGGTCCTGTTCCCACTCTTTAGACATGGTAGCACTTCTTTCCTCAAACACTGTTGATTCATTCATTATGGCCTGAACGGTAAAACACCAGTATAATTTTAAAGTGATTTACATATTTAAAAAACGAAGAAAAATAGAAAAGAATTCTAGGACAATGTGTATGCTGAAATTCATTACTAGAACAGTGCTAGAGACCAACAGATGGCATAATGGTTATGTTGCTGGACTCCCATGTGGCTGGCCATGGTTCGAGTCCCCTCGGAGTCCAGCGACATAACCGTTACACCGTCTACTGGTCCTGCAAACGACATTTTTGAACCTGACAGCTCAAGGGTGAGCACATAGGCCGGTGACACCGCTGGGGTGAAAGCACAGGAAGCTCTCCCCAAGGGCTGGCCGGGCTGGTCTATGTCTCTACCACAGCTGCCGCCTACAGCCTGGTAGGGAGCAGGGGTCATGGCAGAGTCTCCCTGCAGAGGAGGCCCACAGCCTGCAGAATCAGGGAGGAGGAGCGGGAGGACTCGAGACTTCACAACGGAAACTGAGTGTCTTGTACCAAGATCTTGCTACCTTGGTAAGTAAAAACTGTACATTTAAGTACCCGAAGGAAGCATAACTCGTTAGAGGAAAAACCCATTTGACAAAATCCATTTTTTAAAATAAAGCGAATATATAAAGAAATGAAAGGAAACATACTTAAAAATAAGCCACTGCAAGCTGTTTTAGGAATAAGGTAGAAAAAGGCAAAAGCAGGAGGAGGCAGTACAATAAAAATGTATACTTACAATTATTTTGTTATTATAGAAGTTATTCACTTGGCAAATCTTATCATTCTCTTTCTGAATGCCATTTCTAAGCTTTTCTATATCAAAATGAACATTCAACCACTCTCCCAAAAACTGTGTCATTTCTTTTCTATTTCTGAGGACTTGCTGAAATTCAGTCTTTATGCTGGAGAACTCATTTTCTGAGAGGTCTGTGAGAATTTCCTGTGAAAGCAAGCAAGGAGTCACGTGATCATCGGGAAGGCTCTCATCCAATAGCAGATAAAAAGAAACACACCTGCTGGGCCCTCATTCTCCTCAGTACTTTAAGCTAAGGAATAGAATTCTAATCTAAAGTTTTATTTTAATTATTTGCATTGCAGAATTTTGGTAGTATACGCTGTACAGCACAGACATGCCTAAAGTCTACTTGGTAGAATGAGGAACTGTTGCCAGTGTGAGGCTGTGACGAACCACAGGGCATGAAGCGCGTCTGGATGGAGCTTTTCTGGGAGTAGAGGAGACGTTACAGGCGTGGGAACTGCTAGGTCACCGGGGAAGTCCTAACGTATTTCTCTGTATTTTTCTATGCAATACATTACAACTTTCCTGACAACCGGAGATGCCGGTCTCACACTGCTGGGTGGAAGCAAGACATTCCATGTGGAACTTCTACAATAAAAGGTTTCCGGCTCCCAGGCCCTGTGACGCTGTGGAAGCCGTGTGGAAATGTAGTCAGGGTCGCCTGAATCTCCATGGGTCTCCTCGTCAATCTGCTCTCTGTCTGAGGTATGAAGGGAGCCAGCGCATGCCTTGGCCATGTGTCGCTCTGAAACCTATTTGTAATTTCTGACAAATTAAGACAGCTCTAAGCACATGAAAAGCTACCTTTCTACTTGATAAAAAGGCTTGCATTGTAATTAAATCCACTTAGGATAAATGATACCTTAATATGTAGGTCCATATTCTGGTTCAATCTGAGTTCCCTTAGTTCTCTGGCTGGTACTTCATAATCTTGTTGAAGGTTCTGTATTTTAATTAGCAGTTCATTTTGTTTTTCTATTTCATCAATCACGACCATTTCAAATCTATTGATGGATTCATGTTGTTCTTCTTTTATCTTTGTGACACAGCTTAACACGTACTTATAGAGAAAAATGAAACATTGGAAAAATGAAACTTCTATCTCAGGTGCAGAGTTTTGATCCCTTTGAACTCTGAGGCAGGATGACACTGCTTACTCATCTCCACCCTCCGATATGTGAGACAGAGCGAGGACCTCCATCTCCAACTTTGTTCTCTCAGACGCTTGGGAGAAAATACCTTCTGTCAATAGATCTCCACTGCCATTATTTCTGACTTATACCAGGGAGATCTCGTGGAGGTCCTGAAAGTACCTCGAACATAGTAAGTTTAAGATGTGACACGGACCATTTCCCTATCAGGCCTCCTTTTCCTTTTGCTCCTTTCTGGTTAATCACATTGTCACCCAGGTGTCCTGATTAGACCCTTGAGTTCATTTTCAACAGCTTGCCCTTCCCATCTTGGTAGTTAATAAAATAGATGTTACATGCCTCAAGACCTCCTCGTCAAACATGCTCAGATAACTAGCTTCAAGGGGACAGTCATTTGAGTGCCATATGCCCCAGGCCCTCCTGAAGAGTTAATTGCTGGATGTCTGGTTTCTAGGGTTTGTGGAGGAATTCTCAGGAGCTGAGGGGCAGTGATCTATGTAGGGCCGATACCCACTCCCTAATCTGTCCACCATTCCTTAACCTCTTGTGTGTAACCTGGCCTCTTCCATTGTCAACAGTGCGCTGACAACGGCCACTGAAGTGCTCGATGACCAAGTCACTCTGGACTGCTGCGTCCTGGACATGCCCTCTCCGCTGCCTGCACTGACAGCGCGCCTGCTGGCTTCCCTCCTGCCTCATTGGCCAGCCTCGAACCCATGTGCTGTTCCTTTTTCTGCTGCTGACTCTTAGAGGCTTATCTCTTGAGGGTTTTCTTCTCCCTCAGGCCCTGTCCTGTTCCGCTTTCTGGATGAGCCTGCTCACAGATCTACCGCTCCCCTGCCGACAACCTCAAATCTTAGTCCTGACTTCTCTCCTGCCAGACTCAGCCTCACACCGAGCTGCGGGCGGCTCCTCTTCCTCCACGTATGTCCCAGCACAGGCAGTTCAACCCCCACATGCCTCCAGCCAGCACCTCACCCCTCCTCCTCACCACCTCGCTTCTCTCCCTCTTTCATCTCAGTTAATGTCCGCCAGACACTAACCCGCCTAGTCCAAGTCCCGGAACCCCGTCTACACTGCTTTCTCTCACCCTCCACTTTATGCTGAGACCTGTTTCTTTAACCCTGTGTGTCTTCTCCATCCCTGGGAGGACACTCTCACCCAGTACCTGACCCAGACCACTTTAGTGCCTCTGGTCTCTCCTCTCCGCCCACAGGCTTCCCCCTTGAACTGGTTTCTCTGTAGTCAAGCATCTTGGCAGTAATCTGATACAGTTCCTGTCGTCACTATAACTGATGGCTCCCCATCACCCACGACAACCTCCAAGCTTGATTTCCTGAGCCTGGTTTCCATTACGGTCTCATCTACAAATGATCTGACGTGTCCTACAGCCTGTCAACACCTGACTGCTGCACTTACCACCTGCTGGTACACCAGTCTCATCCCTAGCCCTAGACAGTGGGATCTCGGAGGTGTTACTCACACCTGCTCCCCAGTCTTTGACGCAGTGTCTGGGCCCATGGCAGGGCTCCGCTATTACAGAACGAACAGGTCTGAGGCGCACTGAGGATCCTGCACACTATTCTCAGACCTGCGTGACCTTCGGTTTGGTGCTCAGTACTCTAAGTAGCAAATATGCCACTCGCAAGACAGGACTTACACACACAGTTCGGAAATCGAAACTCACAGTGACATTTGCAAGGAGATTACTAAGAAAAATGGTACCTTAAGTTTGTTCATGACTCTGTGGGATTCCATGGAACATCTCTGGTTTGCCGTAAGCAGTTTTTGAATCTGTTTGGTTTGTGGAGACGGAAGTGAGAGGCTTGCTTTTACTCTAAGTGAAAGCTCTTTTTGGGTTTCAATCTCCTTCTCTAGGTTAAGTGACAAACTACTCAGGTCCTCATAATAATTCTCCATCTCTGAGTATCTCTTCAGAAGCTCCTAAAAAAAGTGAAAAGCCCATTCAATTTAACTTCTTATTCTAATTTAAGAGGAAAGTCCAGCTCCAGCATTGTAACAAACTTCATGCTTTAACACTTTTTGTAGGAGAGAAATAAAGACCTTCATATTAAAAAAAAAAAAAGACAAAATAGTTATTTGATTCGGATGACAGAAATAATACGTAACTATTATAGAAACATTACAAACTGAAGCAAACATAACAATGAAAACCAGAAGCAACCATTGTTATTTTGATACATTTTCCTTTAGTTTTACAAACATCCATGACTTTTAAAAAATGTTTAAACCTTTTGTTTTATTTATTTTTATGAGAGGGAAATAGAGTGCAAGTGGAGGAGAGAGAGAGTCTTGTCTGGGTTTCAGCCCGTCGCTGTCCTCCTGCTCCAGCTTGCCCGGGGGAGGACTGCAGACTCGCGCCTCTGCACTGGCCTGTGCAGGTCGGGCCGGGAACCAAACCCCGGGAGCCCTGTGTGGTTTCAGCTGCTACGCAATGGTGCCGCCCTGCTATGCCACTGCAGCTGAGCCTAAAACTGTTTGTTTTTATGTAATTCCAAATGTTCAGAGAATTTGAGGAAACTGTGGAAGACGAACACACGCCCTCTGTCTAGAATCACGTTGTCTGCTGTCCCTTAGAAGTTTTGCCCTCCTCCCCCTCTGTACACATGTAGGAAGAATGCCTCCATACAGGTGCTTGTTATGATTTGAGGAATTTGGGAGTAAGAGGCAGACACTGGCCTCTGCCCTAAGCATTTCAGTGTGTATTTAAAAGACCCGGATGTCTGCTGCAGAACGCAGTATAATGATCCCATGGGGGGATAAGCACTGGAGCCACGCTGTGCTGACCCGCGGTCCACCTGTGAGCACCTGTGACGAACTGGCATTGCAAAGTCTGACAAGAAGACATGAGTGAATTCAATCTTGTGTGTATCATAGCTCGAGGCTGGATTCTGGCTTTTTACACAGCATCGTCAGCAGACACGAGCTCGAGGCTGGATTCTGGCTTTTTACACAGTATCGTCTCTGAGTCAACCTGCCTGTCCGCCAGCCTGGTAGAGCTGGCCCTCCTCACACATCTACCCTCCGCCCCGACTCTGCTCTCCAGGGTCATCAGAGCTCCAGTTCAGCTTCTAGTTCTGCCACTAATCGAGTGCGGTCACTCAGCTGTCCTCCCAACTATTACATAGACAGACTACAGTAATTGCCACAAAGTTTTCTCGAGGATGGAGTAAAGTACACATATTACATATATATGTGTAAGTCTTGTCGGCTTTCCTGTGGAGCTAAGCACGTCTCACTACCTCCACTCTCCCCGTCTGGGTCGAGCCGCTCCATCTCTGCCTGGACCACTGGAGTCAGACTTCCCATGTCCTTCCTTCCATCCTCACCCCAGCACAACGCCCAGTCACCACGTTGAAATCTGAGTCAGATCACATCTTTCTGGGGTTGAAACTCTCACTGGTTCTCCATCTCACCCAGAAGAAACCCAAAGACTGCTCAGTCCCCACACCTGCCTCCCCGCTAGCTCTCACCACATTTCTTACTAGCTTTTCCTTCTCGGTCCCTGAAGCGCCAGGCAGGCTCTGTCGGGCCGAGTACTCGCTGCCCCCTCTGACCGACGCTTCTTCCGATAACCAACACCTGGGCCCTCAGCTTGGTTCAGATATTGCCTTTCCAGTGAGGCCTAACACCACGACCTGTTACTTGGCTTGTGTATGTATGTACCATGCACACACATGCACACCTGACCCAGGTTAGTGTTAAGAAACTACTGAGCACTATCTGCTCATCCCACAGGTTCCTCCTGCTTTTTTTTTATTTTAATTTTTGTTTATTTATTTATTTATTTATGAATGAGATATTTTTGCTATAGAGCGCTTGTGCTCACCGGACAGAAAGAAACTCAGAGACAAAGTGAGATATCACCCTGCGGGGGGATGGCCATGCCACAATCCCTTTTCTTCCATTCTCCTCGTAGGATTCTGGGCACACACACAAATGTGCCCAGCGTGAATTTTAAGCTGTCGGGTCCAGGACTGGAACCATGGTAGACTACATGGGAGTCCGGCGACATAACCATGATGCCCTCTGCCGGTCCCCAGAGGTCCCTCTGACTCAACCGTTTGAAGTCTGAGGAAGCCTATGAAGAGCCCCAGCGCTCACCGGTAGCTTGACGGGGGCACTTACTCGTATCCTCGCACTCTTTTCTCGCAGGCTCTCTATACGGTGCTGTCCGCCACTCTGTGACCCGCCTTCGAACTGCACTTTCTCTCCACGCTTCTGCTGCTCCTGCTTCGGCACAAAGGAAAGAACTAGAGTTCAGTTTTAACTGCATTCACATGTAATGTCCAATTGCACACACCTAAAATGACACTTCAAAAATGCTTCAGTAGTGGAACTGAGTGTTAACACTTCTAACTCAGAAAGGACACGAAAATGATCAGAAAATAAATAACAGTACCACTAAGTCTAGGATGAGTGACCTCAACTCAATGAAGAAAAAAAGTGGGAGAATGATTCATTTTTTTAGAGACAGAATTTGTTTGTTGTAGTTGCTGATTAACTTTTAGATTTATTTCGGATTCCTAGTCTTCTAAATCTCTGCACTTAGAATTATTGCTGTGAACTAAATATACTAGCAAAGCCAGCTGTCCTGTTTAGTGTCTAAGCCCTATTTTCCCCAGCACCTTGGAAAAAGCACCTCCTAACTTATATTTTGCATTTCTGATTAAAAAGTATAAATCAAGGGCCAGTAAGTGGTGTGGTGGCTAATGTGCTGGACTTCTCCATGACCAAATGCAGTTCAAGTCTCGGACTTGGTGGCTTGAAAATCATGCTTGGTGGGACCAGCAGAAGGTGTAAAGGTTATGTTGCTGGACTCCCACATAGTTGACTGAAGTTCGAGTCCCGGACCCAGCGGCTTAAAACTCATGCTAGGCATGTGTGCGTGTATGCCCAAAATCCCAAGAGGAGAATGGAGAAGGGATTGCAGTGTGGCCATCTCCCCTGGGAGGGGTGATTTCTCACTTTCTGTCTCTTCTCTCTGGCAAGCACATGTTCCCTATAGCAAAAATCTCTCTAAAAAGCAAAAAAAGGAAAATCATGCCCAGCATGGGTATGTTCGTGCCCAAAATCCTAGGAGGGAAATGGAGGAGAAGGGATTGTGGTGTGGCCATCCCTGGGGCTGATTTGTCACTCCCTCACTGCCCCCCCCTCCAAAGAAACAAAATAAACAAAGACAATATAAAATATTCTCCCACTTATTTATTTTGTTCATTACTGTACCTAGAAGAATGACTAGTTGTTCAATAAAGTATTTGTTTAATAAATTAAACCTCTGTATAACAATTAAATGTAAATAAATGATAAGGCAAAATGACATTAAAAAATGAAATCTCTTCATAAATTTAGTTAGGGCCAACAGAGAGACAAACTGTGAGAATCTAATGTTTCTACTGAGACTGCAAATGACATTTTTAATTTTATTCTTTATTACTGAGACATGAAAATGAAGAAGACTTTTATTGATTTATTTTGTATAACTTATTTGTCCAACCTTTCAGTTATGTTTCAGAGTATTTAAGTGTTTAAAGATACCTGACTCTGAATATCTATAAGCAGTATTACTAGAACTACTCCCTTCATTGGTCATTGTTCTCCTCCCTGCTGACTTCACCAGTCAGAGTCCATCTCTAGACAGCAAAGGTAGAGAGATGAAGCATTAGCTCTTCACAAATCTAACCCTTCCGATATTCTCCATGTAAGACTACGCCTTTCTTTGGTTTTAAAAAGTATACAGGGTCAGACAAGGTGGCATAGTGGTTAAGCAGCTGGAGCAGTTCTGGACCCAGTGGCTTAAAAAACATGCCGGGTACATGTGTGTGCATGCCCAAAATCCTGAGGAGAATGGAGGGAAAGGGATTGCAGTGTGGCCGTCCCCAGGGGGGTGTTTTCTAGCTTCTTTCTTCTCCCTCTCCCACCTTTGAGCACAAACATCTTATAGCCAAAAATAAATTAAACAAAAAATTTAAAAAGTATGCATATTTACGTTAATATATATTTATACATATGTGTGTTTATGTGTATAAATGTTTATAAAGGAAAACTGTATGTTTTAATTATCCAAACTTTTTTTTAAAATAAAGAATATTCGGGACTAGCAGATGGTGTAATGGCTACATCGCTGGACTCTCGCATAGTCGACCACATTTTGAGTCCCGGAACCGGTGGCTTAAACCTCATGCCAGGCACGTGTGTGTGTGTGTGTGTGCCCAAGATCCTGAAAGAAGAATGGAAGAGAAGGGATTGTGGCATGGCCATCCTCCCAGAAGTTGATTTCTCTCTTTCTCTCTGTCTCTGGTGAGTATACACGCTGTATAGCAAAAATCTCTCTCAAAAAAATAAAGAATATTAATAATTATCAATAATATGGTTATTGCTAATATAAAAATATGTTAGCTTTTTAAAAAACTGTTTCCTGTTTCTGTGACGATTATAGTAACAGTTTCCTCATTATCTTTTTCTATTTATAGAAATTTCCAGAAAAAAACCCCCAAACAGTGTTACCCTATTTGAAGAAATCTGATTCTTATTAACTACAAACTGAAGACTCTGAACTCACTCTAGCTCTTGTTTCTGTCAAGGTCTCTCTGAGCTGGTCTCTTTCCATTTGGCGAAACTCTTTCATCCTCTTCAGCTCCTCTCTCTCCTTAGCTACCATCCTCATCTCTTCAAGGTTCTCATGAAGTTTCTTATTCAAGTGCAAGTTTTCCATTTCCACACTTTGCAAAGATAAACTCTGGGCCTCAAACTGCCTCTTCAATTGTTCTACTTCATTAATTATTTTATGAGCTTGACTGACATCTTCCTTTACTTTAAGAAGTAGGAGTTCTTTTTTCTGAAGTTCATGGGTCTTGAGATAATTATAAAACAAGTTAGACCACAAGCAGAATTCCTTTAAGGACAGTAAATAGTGTCCATTTGCTACATATGTAAATATATCTATAGCCTTTCTCATCCCATGAATATTTTTTGACATAATTACATACTTCTAAAAGAAGAACAAATCAACACATACCATTCTTTGTAACTCATCTTCTGATTTATCTAAATCCATTTGAAGGTTTGAAATTTGGGTTGTCTCTTTTGCAACCTTTTCTCTAAATTTATCAATAGTTTCTTGGTGTTCTTCCAAACGCATACGAACAGTTTTCAGCTCCCGTTGTGTTTCCATATCCTTTATAATTAGAAGAAACAGTGAGATGTAATGATTAGCAATTAATTAAACAAAATCCGAAAGGAAAAAAAGGCATGCTGACAGTTAAAACAGCCACTCCACCACCCTCCCAAATTAGAATATTACAGAAGGTATTAAATAAAAGCTCCTGTCCCAGCCTCCCTCCGTTTTAGCCTGCTTTCTGTTGAGCTCTGCTACTCCTTTTTCCTTGTCTCTGACTTGGACATCTTTCTAAATTAGCATCATATACACAGTGCCTCATTTTTTGTTTTAAAGAATTATTTATTTAATTTACTATTATTATTTAATTTACAATAGGGCAGATGTGTTCACCAGAGACAGAGAAAGTGAGAAAGCAAGGTGCCAGATCTAGGACTCGAACTGTGGTCAGCCATGTGGGAGTCTGGTGTCTCAACCACTACACCTCCCGCTGGCTCCACAGTGCCCTCTTCCTATGCTTAGTACTTCATCACGCTGGTGAAGTCCATTCAGCCAGTGAATCAGTGAATTCTGGGACTGCTTCTAGATGGTCACCACAAACAATGTCGCAGTGAATGTTACTGTACTTTTGCCCAGATGTATAAACATACTGGAAGGAAAAATTCCTGGAAGTTGAACTGTATGCCAAATACATATGCTGGCCAATGTTTTAAAAAATATTGTTAAACCATCTCCCTCAAAGGTTCTATCATTTATCTTCTCACCAACAGTATCCTCTATTTTCAAGAAGGGAGCTCCATGTTAAAACCACCACGTTTACTGACACACAGGAGAGCAGCACTCACCCTGGCGAGGGTCTCCTGCAGCCTTTCCTGCAGCCGGTCTCTCTCCAGGGCGAGAGCTTCCTCCATTCTCCTTAGATTGTCTCTTTCTTTCATTATGGATTGCGTTTCTTCAAGATTTTCATGAAGTTTCTGAGCCAAATTTAAGTTCTCCATTTCCAATTTGTCCAGAATTAAACTTTGATCTTTAAATTGTTTCTTCAGTCGTTCCATTTCAGACTCCTTTTTCTTTGCCTCACTGACAACTTCTTTTAACTTAAAAAGCTGATGTTTGCACGCTTCAAGCTCTTGAATCTTAAGATAATAAAAAATAATACGAGAGGATACAGAGGTGGTTTTTGGGGGTCGATCACACAATAGTCTTCCTGTGTGACTCACGAATCTCCTACATAACCCACACAGTATCTGTTTTCTTTTGAGGTATAATACACATGTGCACCGATCTTAAGTGTGTAACTCATTTACTCTTTTTTTTTTTTTTAAAGGTTTTTGCCATAGGGCACATGCACTCACCAGAGAGAGACAGAGACAGTAAGAAATCACTCCCCAGGTGGGTGGCCACGCTATAATCCCTTCCTCTCCATTCTCCTCCCAGGATCTTGGACATGCATGCACATGCACCTGGCATGATTTTCAAGCACTTGTTCAGGGGCTCGAACCACAGTGGACCATGTGGTAGTCCAGTGCCTTAATCACCACACCACTTGTTGGCCCCAGCTCAATTACTCTTGACATATATACACATCTAGGTAACCCAGATTAAAACAGAACATTCGCAATCCTCCATAAGGTCCCCGTGGGCCTCTTCCCAGAGGCATCCACTATCTGACCTGGATCACCCTAGGTAAGTTTCGTCTGCTTTTTCATCCTGCACATCACAAAGTATTTATAGCCATCCTCCTGATAGGCCTGTAAGGTGTGTTCAGTGTCTTGCTGTCTGAATAAAGGTGCTATGAATATCTTGTGCACATCCTTTCAGGGAACGTGTCCTCGCTAAGCCAACTGATGGCGGGCACCGGCTCAGCATTAGTGAGGACTGCCTCGCTGCTTTGCACCATGACGGGGACACTTTACCTCTCCAACAAGTGTAGCCACAGGTAAATTAGATGTCCAGTCAAACAAGCCCCCAAGAAAAATACCTTTTCTTGTAATTTAGTGTTCGAATTGTCTAAATCTATTTGCATATTTGATATTTCCTCTGTCTTCTCAGAAACAAGCCCTCTGAGTGTATGGATGGTCTCCTGGTGCTCTTTCAAATGCACACGAACAGCTCTTAGTTCCTCTTCTCTTTTCAGATCCTTTACTGTTAGAGAAAATTTAAGAACATATTTTAATGTTAACTGGCATTTTTTTAAAAGAAGTGATACATTTTCTTAGTAAAAAAATAACACATCTACTGCTTAGTCTACGTTTCTGTTTTTAGAAAGTTAGAGGCTTTCTCTCTCTTTTTTTTGGGGGGGAGAGGTTTTTGCTACAGGGAGTGTGCGCTCACCAGACAGACAGAGAGACATAGAGACAGAAAGCGAGAAATCACCCCCCGGGGGGATGGTCATGCCGCAATCCCTTCTCCTCCATTCTCCTCTCGGGATCTTGGGCACGCACGCACAGGCGCCTGGCGTGAGTTTTAAGCCACTGGGTCCAGGATGCGAACCACGGTCAACTACGTGGGAGTCCAGCGACATAGCCATTATGCTAACTGCTGGTTCCCGAGGCTTTCTCATCATCTGACCTCATCTCCCCATATTTTGCTCCTGCTTCCGGAGGTAAACACATCCTACACATACTATTCTTTCTTAATTTACTTTTTAAAAACTTTGCCAGAGAGTGTATGCACTCTCCAGAGGAAGAGAGAGAAGACAGAGAGAGAAAGCAGGAAAGCACCTGCCCGGTGGTATGTTAACACTGCAATCCCTCCTCCTCCACCCCTCCTCAGGGGTTTTTAGGCTTGCAAGCACATGTACTCGGCATGCTCTTCAAGCCACCAGGTCTGGGATTAGAACCGCAGTCGGCCACGCCAGATCCAGCTGCCTCAACCACCTTGTCGCAGGCTGGTCTCACACATTCTATTCCACAGCTTGCTTTTCCCCTTGACGGGTTTCCAGATGGAACTTCAAAGCTATTCTTCTTTAAAAGTATTGCAATATTGTGGCATATTGCTTACATTATTCAGTTTCCTTCTGAGAAACATTTAGGCTGTTTTCCATTTTTTAAAATTACAACCTATTACTACAAGCGATCTGTGATGGGTATGTGTACAGGTATAGTTTAAGAACTGAATCAGTGTATATGTAGGATATTGTCTATGAGGAACATGCTGGTTAAAGAATTAAAAAATTCCCGGGAACCAGCAGTTAGCGTAATGGCTATGTCGCTGGACTCCCACGTAGTCGACCGCGGTTCGTGTCTCAGACCCGGTGGCTTAAAACTCACGCCGGGCGCGTGTGCGTACGTGCCCAAGATCCCGAGAGGAGAATGGAGGAGAAGGGATTGCGGCGTGACCATCCCCCCTGGGGGGTGATTTCTCACTTTCTGTCTCTATGTCTCTCTCTGTCTGTCTGGCGAGCGCACGCGCCCTATAGCGAAAAAAACCTCTCCAAAAAAAAAAAAAAAGAATTAAAAAATTCCCCAAACGGCTAACGGCTAACTGCCCACTGAAGAGGTCATGCCGCCCCCGTCAAGGATGCTGTCGCTTCGGGGACCGGCATAGCTGCTGTGGGACGGGGAGGGGTGCGGCTCACCGTGAGGCCTCTTTCTCTGAGGCTTTCCCTGAGCTGGTCCCGCTCCATCTGGAGGCCCTCCTCCACTCTCCTCAGGCCGTCGTTTTCCTTGGCAACAAATCGGAGTTCCTCGAGATTTTCATGGAGTTTCTGACTCAACCTTACTTTTTCCATTTCAACACTTTCCAGAGTTGAGTTCTGGGCCTCTAATTGCGCCTTCAGTTGTTCTGACTGATACATGGCTTCCCTGAGATCATTTTGTATGTTAAGAAGTTGATGTTCTTTCTCTTGAAGTTCTTGGATCTTGAGATAATCACACGATTATGTTAGGATGTTAACAGATGGAGAGAAAATTGAAGTAATAGTTCCTAAACTGAATAAGCAAATTCTCATTTGCCTTCAATTTTAGGCTCAAATCCTGCTCCCTTACATAAAAGAATGGATTCATCCTCTGTTACCCCAGTAACAACTTAAAGAAAAATACCTGGGTTTTTAAGGCAGCAGCTGAATTTTCTAAGTCCTTTTGCATATTTGATATTTCACCTGTCTTCTCAGAAACAATCCCTCTGAGTTTATCGATAGTTTCTTGGTGTTCTTTCAGGTGCACATGAACAGCTTTTAGTTCCTCTTGTTTATCCAGGTCCTTTATATTAGAGAAAGAAAAATAGTGCATTTGAGCCTAATACAATTCAAACAATACAGAGAGGTATAGGGTAGACACCCCCCCACCCCACACCTTCTGAGGCCTCAGGTCCTCCCCTTACAGCTACTGTGAGACAGGGCTATGTTCTGGACACTGTTCTCTAGCTTGCCCTCCTCCCCAGTGGGGGACTCCCAGCCAGCCCTCTGGCTCTGCCAGATGCTTCGCCCACGGCAGGCACCGCAGGTCCTAAACATGCTGCATTCATGGAGCCAGCTCCTAGCTGTGCTAGGTCAACTGCCCCTATTTTTGTTTGCTTTATTTCATGATGACAGCTTGTTGCAATGAGTGTCCTACAAGACCTGTGTACATCTGTGCAGACGTGTACAGAGATGGAGTCACAGGCCAGTGAAGGAACTTCCTGAAAACTGCAGGGTGTATGGCCGGTGCCCCCTCCAGCCTCCCCTGACAGTCCCACAGACACCGTTCTTTCGGGACACGACGTCACAGCCCCATGGACACCGTTCTTTCAGACATTGACGTCACAGCCACCAGGAGAAACGGTAACTCACTCTAATTACGGCTTCTTTCAGGTTTTCCTTTAGCTGGTCTCTCTCTACTGTGAGAGACTCTTCCAGACTCTTAAGGTCATCTCTTTCTTTTGTTATAGATCTCATTTCTTCAAGGTTTTCATGAAGTATCTGATTCAACCTTATGTTCTCCATTTCTATATTTTCCAGGGTGGATTTCTGGGCCTCAAACTGCTCCTTTAAACGCTCCATTTCACACACTCCCTCCTGACTCTCACTGACATTTCTCATTTTAAGAAGTTGATGTTCTTTCTCCTGGAATTCTTGTATCTGAGAAAATAATTTGAGACAGGCAGAATATTTTTCAAGAGAAGAAGGGATTATTCCTAAATTAAGGCAATCATCCTTATGTTTTAGTCTAACAGATTTACTTTTTTTTCCATGATGGATTTGAGAACCATAAGAATCAGATGTTATTTTCTGAGACATGTGTTGTCTTGTCATTTATTATCCGGATTTTCTAAATCCCAATGAATATTTGCAGCATGATCTGTGTTCTCTGAAATATTAGGGATAGTTAAAAGTTTATGGAAAATTTGTATTGTGAAAAGACAATACATGGGTTTTAAAATTTTATTGTACCAATATAAATTCAAACTGCAATTCGATTTTCCATGAACTTTTTGAAGCCCCTTGTATTCCTTCCAACAGTTTCTTCACACTCATTCAGATGAATGTAAGCAGCTTTCTTTCTTTCTTTCTTTCTTTCTTTTTTAAGGCTTTTGCAGTTGGGTGCATGTACTTGTCAGAGAGAGACAAGAGTGAGGGAAAGTGAGGAGTCACCTCGCCAAGGGGGATGGCCTTGTCACAATCCCTTCTCCATTCTGCTCTGGGGATTCTGGGCCTGCACACACATATGCCCAGCATGAGTTTCAAGCTGCCAGGTCTGGGACTTGAACCATGGTTGACGATGTGGGTCTAGAGCCTTAACCACTACGCCACCTGCTGGCCCCAATGTAAGCAGTTTTTAGTCCCTTTAAAATTACAGAAGAATTTATTAATAAACTTAAATAAACTAATTAATAAAACTCACTCACTAAACAATCACTATTATCACATTAACACTATTTTTGTATCCAAAACAATGAGAAGAGAGAAACTTACTTTAGCTTCAAGTTCCTGAACGTTTTCTTTCAGCTCGTCTCTCTCCATTTGAAGGGCCTCCTGTGCCCTTCTCAGTTCATCTCTTTCCTTAATTATAATTTTTATTTCTTCTTGACTCTCTTGAAGGCTCTTGGCCAAGCTGAGCTTCTCACTTCCTACACTTTGCAGTGCCGAGTCTTTGGCTTTGAGACAGTCCTTGAATTGTTCCAATTCACTCATTTTTTCTTGAGTTTCATTAATTTCTTTTACACTAATAATTTGTTCTTGTTTCTCATAAACAAGACACTCTTGGATCTTAAAAGTAAGGATAAAATAAGTTAATAGATGAAATATACATATGCATATGCATACACAAATATACATATGCATACACAAATACACACACATATAATTTATTCATTTTTTAAAAACATGACTTTAAAAAAAAAATTATTTGACTTTGTTTGTTTTAATTTGACCAGAGAGGGACAGAGTGAGAGAGAGAGAGAAAGTGAGAAAGCAAGCCACCAGGTCTGGGACTCAAACTGCAGTTGGCCAAGTGGGGGTCCAGCATCCTTAACCATCAAGCCACCTTCTGGCCCCATATAATTTATTCATTTTAAGAAAAAAGTAAAAACACCCAGGTTGCTTTCCAAAACAGCTTAGCATGTGAGCAGTCATTTTCATGATCTGGCTGGCCACTCCCCCAGGTCTCCTCTCACTGTTCCTGATTTCCCAACCTACCTTGTGCTGCGACTTGTCACTGGTTGCTTCTAATTCCTTCTGAATGCTTGATATTTCAGTCTCCTTCTCTGCAAGATTCACTCTCAGCTCCTCAATAGTTTCTTCTCGTTCCTTCAGACAACAACGAGCAACTTTGAGCTCCTCTTCAGTTTCCAAGTGCTTCATAGAAGAAAATTCCAAGAGAGTTAGGGAGACGTTACGACCAGTACACTGTAATGAATTCCTTTCCCCGAAGGTTTAAGTCTTAAGAAGATATTTGTTTACAACATATTTAAAAACAATACATGGTAAGAAGATGAGACCTACTTTCGCCATAATTTCCCCTATGTTTTCTTTGAGTTGGTTGTTTTCTGACTGAAGACCTTCCTGCAGCCTCTGTAGGTCCTCTCTTTCCTTAGCTGCAGATTCCATTTCCTTGTGACTTTCTTGAAGTCTCCCAGACAACATGATCGTCTCCATTTCTAGTCTCAGCAGCGCGGAGTCTTTGGCTTTCAACTGCTCCTTCAACTGCTCCATCTCGTCCATTATGGTTGGAGTTTCGGTGTCTTTTTCCTTCATACTGAAGGACTGTTCTTGTTTATCTTGAGCTTCTGGGTGCTTAAGAGAATCATAAAACAGTACATTGGTATCCAGAGATGTTTTACTTAGGAAAAAAGAAATCAGGATTCTTAAAAAGTCATGAAGGTGGGCCTAGCAGGTGGAGTGGTGGTTAAGGTGCTGGCCATGGTGTGAATCCTAGACCCAGCAGCCTGAAAATCACCCTGGGCGCGTGTGTGTGCATGCCCAAAATCCTGAGAGGAGAATGGAGATGGGATTGTGGCATGGCCATGCACCCTGGGAAGTGATTTCTCACGGTCTCTGTCTCTCTTCAGTGAACACATACACCCTATAACAAAAACCTGAAATAAATTAAACAAATTAAAAAACAAACAAACATGAACAACAACAAAATTAAGGCAGGATTCAAAGGCTCATTTACAGAGCAATCTATCTATTCTCAATCTCTTTCTATCTCTCCGTCTCTGTCTTTCTGGCGAGTACACATGACCTATAGCAAAAACCTCTCCAAAACAAAACAAAACAAAAGATCCTAAGACGAGAATGGAGGAGAAGGGATTGCGGCGTGGCCATCCCCTCTGGGTGGTGACTTCTTGCTTTCTGTCTCTCTGTCTCTCTCTTTCTGGCAAGTGCATGTGCCCTATAGCAAAAACCTCTCCAAAAGAAAAAAAGAAGGAAAGAAAATAATTCATTTTTGGCCTTATGCCCTCCTGCAATTTAGCATTCTTTTTCTAAATAATTTCTGAATATTTAAGAAAATGAATGTCTTCTCTAAAACATTTCCTGTTGGTTTCAATAGTTTCCTAGTATTCACAAGCAATATTTAATAGTTTTATTTCTGCTTACTTTATGATTAAGAGTCATTCAAAGAAAATTAGTAGTAACACTGTAACTATGATATAAATACTCCTTTTCCAAAGACTTAATTCTCATGAAATATTTACGTATTTATTTTTGAGAGAGATTTTTGCTATAGGGTGTGTGTGTTCGCTGGAGAGACAGAGATAGAAAGTGAGAAATCACCCCTCAGTGGGGGATGGCCATGCTGCAATCCCCTCTCCATTCTCCTTTAGGGATTTTGGGCACGCACTCACATGCATCTGGTGTGAGTTTCAAGCTCCAGGTCTGGGACTTGAACTGCAGTTGGCCATGTGGGGGTTCTTGGGCTCTTGTGCCTGTGACGTAACCATTACACCATCTGCTGGCCCCAGATTCTCTTAAAATATTTATTAAGATGAGCGGAAAAGAAAAAGCTTACCTTAGCCAAAGTCTTTTTAATGTCTTCTTTCAGCTGGTCACATTCAACTTGAAGTGCTTCCTTTATCATTTTGAGGTCATCTCTTTCCATAGTTAGAGACTTTATTTCCTCGCGACTTTCTTGAAGTTCCTCCATCACCCCGAGGCTTTCTGTTTCTAGGCTTGTGGGCACCGTGGAACCCTTGCTTTCTGCCAGTTTGTCCAGTTCCGTCGTTTCCTGAATCTCACTGACTTCTCTCCCACTAGGAAGTAGCTCCTCTTTCTCATGAAGCACTGGGATCTTAAGACAATCATAAAACACCAAGGCTACTACCTGGAGATTGTTACCTTATTTTTTAATTTTTATTTTTTTGGAGAGGTTTTTGCTATAGGGTGCTTGTGCTCACCAGAAAGACTTTAGAAAGAGACAGAGAGATATCACCCTTCAGTGGGGATGGCTACGCTGCAATCCCTTCTCCTCCATTCTCCTCTCGGGATCTTGGGCACACACACATGCCTGGCGTGAGTTTCACCCACTGGGTCCGGGACCCAAATCACGGTTGACTACATGGGAGTCCAGAGACATCACCATTACACCAACTGCTGGTCCCCTATCTTAATTTTTTAAAGGTAGAAGGTAAGGATATTTTTTCTATAGCAGTGAAGGTGATCTTGAAACTTGGGTTTAGTTTGAGTCACAAACTACTATTTATTCAAATTTATTCACTCATTTCCCACTAATGCTATTCGTGACTTTTCTGCCAGACATATTTTGAAATAATTTTTTTTTCAGCTTAGATCCAAAATGAACAAATATTTAGACTTTACCCGCAAACTCAGTTCAGTGAGTTGTATGCTTATTAGACATCTTTTCCTCCTTTTATTCACAATAGAGTATGTGTATGTGTATGCGAGAGTAGAGGGAGAGGAGCACCCCCCACAGGGTCTGGTCACGCTGGGACCCCCTTCCTCCAGTGCTCCAGCTCGGAGGATCTTGGGCTCTTGTGCCTGTGCCTGTTGTGCTTTTCAGGCCAATGGGGCTGGGGATTCGAACCATGGTCGCTGTGTATGGCTTTCCTGAGCAGCGTTTTCTGCAGCTGCACCATCGAGCCTACACCCATGCTTATTTCTATACCAGTTTCCAAATGCTACTAGAGAAAATCACGGTCAGGCAGACTACCCCAATACATGCACGGCCCTGTTTTCAGATGACCCTTCATCTGTTTCTCATTTTGTTCTATGATTAAGTCCCTTTTCGATAATCCTAAGTGGTTCCGTGTAGTTTTGCTGCTCACACTGCTGCATTTATAACACTGGAACTGGGATTTATTTCTATATGCCTATACTAGGGGAGAATGAACAAGATATTGTTTATATCCGAGTCTCAACGCCCAGCACAGAGGAGAGTTTTAACATAGGTTAGCCCAGTTATCCCAATGTTTCGTCTTCTCCGTAACATTACCTTTCTAGACTTTTTTCTTTTCATTTTATGATTTGTTACCTACATCCAATCACTGTACATCTCCATTATCTGACGTTATCTTACAAGCACGGAGACAAGCAAGGTAACATCAGATACGCCACGCCCTATGAATGGATTGGAGGGATTTTTATCTCTCGTTTCCATGGTATTTCTACAACCAGGACTCTGCCTGTCACATTAAACACTTAACAAACACCCAACAAATGAATGCGCCATACCATGGCTATTATTTATGGCTTATCTTTGCTTCAAAGGAGAAAGGAAGGAAAAAAGCCATACCTTTTCTTGTAATTCAGCACTGGATTTTTCTAAGTCCTTAGGATATATTATTGGAGTTGTCTTCTCAGAAATGCTCCTCCTTAGTTCATCAATAGTTTCTTGGTGTTCTTTCAGATGCATGTGAGCAATTTTCAGTTCTTCTTTTATTTGTAGGTCCTTAATTAGCAAGACAAATTTAAAGAATATTATAACATCCCAATGTTGCCATGCCATTAACAATTGGTTCAGCTTTTTTTGAGAGTTTTTGTTTTGTTTTGTTTTGCTATAGGGCATTTGTGCTCACTGGAGAGACAGAAAGTGAGAAATCCACCCCCCACCCCGTGGAAATGGCCATGCCACAACCCCTTCTCCTCCATTCTCCTCTCGGGATCTCGGGCATGCATGCACATGCGCCTGGTGTGAGTTTTAAGCCGCTGGGTCTGGGACTCAAACTGCAGTAGACTATGTGGGAGTCTAGTGGCATAACGATTACGCCATCCACTGGTCCTGCAATTGGCAGTTTTTAAAGAAACATTTTATAGATGAAAATAGAGGGTGTAACTTACTGTAGCTTCAATTTCTTTTATATAGCCTTTAAGTTGGTCTTTCTCTATTTCAAATGACTCTTGTAATTCCTTTAGATCATTTCTTTCTTTGGTTAGATATTTCATTTCCTCATAATTTTCCTGAAGTTTTTGAGCCAGCTCAAGCCTCTCTGTTTCCACACGCTCCAATGTTAACTCTTGGTTTTTTAATTTATTCTTTAAATTCTCCATCTCATTCATCTTCTTCTGCATTTCACTCATCTCCTCTTGTACGCTAAGAAGTTGTTGCTGTTTTTCTTGGAGTTGTTGGCTCTTAAGATGTACAATTTTTATAATTACTATTTTGCTTATATTCTTTCAAGATTCTTACATAAAATAATTTACATGCCCCAGTATAAACAATCAAGTGGCTTTAAAAATAAAGTAGCCTTCTGGGCCAGGTGTCTACAGCAGGTGGAATAGCATACCACCCAAAACCCATGGTTGCCTGGCACCCGTCCGAGAACTTCCTTGGAAACGGGGTCTCTGCGATGCAGTAAGGACTGCAGGTCGTGTGAGGACAGAAGCAGAGACTATACTGCACTATCGCAAGCCAAGGAATGCCAACGGGAGTGGGGGAGGTCAGAAGTGGCGAGGAAGGATTCTTCTCTAGCATGTTTGGAGGGAACACGGTCTTGCTGACATTTTATTTTTGGATTTCTACGATTCAGAACTGTGACAGAATGAACTTCTATTGCTCCAAGCCATCAAGCACATGGTAATTTGTTTGGTATCTGATACAAACACTACAACGGCACCTTACTGCCACGAACAAAATGACTCTGGGGAAGGCACACATCTAAGAGATGGCGACGGTGACCAACTTGCACTTTGAGAGCGACTGACATCTCTTCAAGGAAGGATCCTCGCTCTCCTGACTGACGTATTTCCAGCGTCCAGAACAGTGTCTGGCCCAAGGTAGTGCTCAGTAACTAGTAAATAATAAATGCATGGTGAATGAATCTGATAACATAGGCCCTCTCTCCTCTAAACACTCTAGAATAATGTAATCCTCACAGGGAATGTTAGTTGTGGTTTCAGTAGGAGTTGAGACAGTCCAAGATATGACCACTAAGATCTCTCATTTGGGAGAGTACGCTATTACCGGGTGAGGTCGGTGGAAATGTATCACACACACAGAAAGCAGAGTCAGGAAAAGCTTTAAAAATTTCACCTGTTCTCGGAGCATTTCTTCAGCCTCTGACAGTCTCTCAGAAGTCTTGGCAAGTTCTTCTTCTTTCTTTATGGTATGGTTCTTTTCTTGTGCAACTATTTCTTGTTGCTTTTTAAGTTCATTTCCAAGAATTCTTAATTCTTCCTGGTTTTCAATGGTCTATAATTTAAAAAAAATTGAGACTGAAATAAATAATACTTACAACATCAGGTAAAAAAAAAAATCGTCATTACCTCACCCTGAAAATAAAGAAATGAGGGCAAATGGTTTTAGAAGACTAATTTAAAAATAAAGTGAGTTCTTAATTTACCATACAGACCTACCAACCTGCTTTTTAATTCTTCCTGGTTTTCAATGGTCTATAATTTAAAAAAAATTGAGACTGAAATAAATAATACTTACAACATCAGGTAAAAAAAAAAATCGTCATTACCTCACCCTGAAAATAAAGAAATGAGGGCAAATGGTTTTAGAAGACTAATTTAAAAATAAAGTGAGTTCTTAATTTACCATACAGACCTACCAACCTGCTTTTTTCTTTTTGAGTTCTTAATTTACCATACAGACCTACCAACAGGCTTTTTGCTCTTTTCTTTTTTTCCTTTTTTTTTTTTTCGGAGAGGTTTTTGCTATAGGGCGCGTGTGCTCGCCAGACAGAGAGAGAGAGACAGAGAGATAGAAAGCAAGAAATCACTCCCCAGGGAGGATGACCACGCCACAATCCCTTCTCCTCCATTCTCCTCTCGGGAACTTAGGCACACACCCACACGCGCCCAGCATGAGTTTAAGCCGCCGGGTCCGAGACGCAAACTGCGGTCGACTACAGGGGAGTCCAGCGACATAGCCATTACGCTAACTGCTGGTCTCCCTGCTTTTTGTTTTCTTTAGTGCTCAATTTATACTCCTGTCATGAGAATGAAGGTTGGATTGAATATTCTATCATGAAAGCTCACCTTGAAGAGACCACTGCTAAGCTCTCATCTCCTGACAGTAAGGCTATAGTCACGTATTTTTCTTACACCAGGATCCTGGCATTTTGGTACTGATCACCAGAAAGCTCAAAGCAGCAGCCACCCTTTGCTAGCATGACTTCAGCTGATCCCAGGAATTTAGCTCACACAGTAAGGTTTTCATGGACCAAGACCATGAGCATATCATAAGCCAGAAGAGAATATAATTCTTGTCTGTATGCTTACCTACATTTAGCTCTTTTGACCAAGCCCTTTTGACAATGTCAACACATCATTGACAGGACAGATAAATTACCAAGCGGCACAACGGCCAATAAGCATGTGGAAACATGTTCAGCAGCAAGGTCAGCAGTGACAAGATGTTTAAGGTGCTGAATCCCACGTGACCAACTCTCCGGTTTGAGGCCTGGCGGCTTGAGAATCACTCTGGGCGTGTGTGCACGCACGCTTAAAATCCCAAGAGGAGAATGGGAGAGAAGAGATTGTAGCATGGCTATCCCCTGGGGATGATTTCTCATTTTCCCTCTCTGTCTCTCTCAGGAGAACACATGTGCCTTATAATAAAAACCTAAAAACAAAAGGGGGAGGACAGGAGGTGGCATAGTGGTTAAGGTGCTGGACTTCCACATGTCTGACCGTGGTTCAAGTCCCAGATCTGGCAACTTGAAAATCATGCAGGGTGTGTGTGCGTGCATGCCCAAATCTCAGAGAATGGAGGGGCAAGGATGACAGTGGCATGGCTAACCCTCTGGGGTGTGATTTCTCACTTTCCCTGTCACTCTCTCTCTCTCTCTCTGTCTGGTGAGTACATGCACCCTTATGGCAAAGACCTTAAAAAATAAAAAAGGAAAAAAAGTTCAACATCTTCAGTCATTTGAGAAAGGTAAATGGGATCAAGAAGGGGTCAAAGTAACAGCACCCAGGACTGTGTTGACGAGGGAGGGCATGGAGCCACGTGCTGATGGGAATGTAAAACGGTGCAACTTCTTTGAAAAATCAGTCTAGCAAATTCCCGTCAAGTTAAACACACCTCTCTGTGACACAGCGATTCCGTTTAGGTCTCTACCATGGAGAAATACAAAAGTACGTACAGGAAAAGGACTGCACAACAATGTTTGTAGTATTTTTGTAGGAAATAGCCAAATACTGGAAATAAACTAGATTTACATCAACAGAAGGGATTTAAACTAAATTATGACAGAGTCATACAGTGGAATACTGCTTGACAATCAAGGTGGATGTGGAATGAAGGCAGAGACAAAACTCTACGTGCTGCATCATTCCAACTGTCTGCAGTTCCAGAAAAGATAGCGATCCTGCTGGAAACATCAGAACGGCGACAATGTGGGACAGGGGGCGATGGGGATTGGCTGATAGGGCATGACAGAAACTTTCTGTCTCAACTGGGGAGGAGAGTGTATACGTAGAACATCTGTCAAATGCCCTAACACTGCACCCTTCTGTCAGATACACTTACTGCATGGCAATTACACCTCATAAAGTGGATACAAATCTGAAATGAAGACAAGAATGTGCTGCTGAGTATACGCAGCGCCAAATCTTACCATCTCGATGCTCTCCTTTAGGTCAGTCCTCAACTGCTCCTTTTCTGCCAGGATACTCTCTAACAGTTGCTGGAGTTCGTTCTTCTCCTGCATCAAAGAAAGTATCTTCTTCTGTTGTTCACTTATCTCATTACCCGTCACGTCTGCAGTCAGTGTGTGGGTTTCTTTGGCATCTAAATTCTGTTTTTTATCTCCGTCCACCATCTAGAATATAAATATATTTTAAAAGAACGGTTAAGGAGGCTGGATCCCACATGGCCAACTGTACGGGTTGAGTCCCAGATCCGGCAGCCTAGAAAATATGCCAGGTGTGCGTGTGTTTCTAAAATCTTAAGAGAAGATTGGAGAAGGGATTGTAGTGTGGGGTCGCCCCCCCCCCCCGGGGAGGGTGATGTCTCACTTTTCACCCCCGCTACCCTGCTTCTCTCTGGTGAGCGCATGTGCCCTATAGCAAAACTTAAAAAAAAAAAAAAATTCTGTCAATAACAGATTTTAAATATACTTTAAAGGTACCTTGGAAAAGTAGAAATGTATTATAAATGGAACCTCTGTATAAAATTATAGGCAACCCCCCTGTAATTGACTGAACTGTGAACCTTAAGCACATTTAGTATAGAAAATTTGACACGAAATAATATTTTAGTCATACTTAATAACAGTCAATACTTTTTACCTTATTAAAAGTCAGAGGTAGTGCTTTTAAAGATATTTAAAATATGGGACCAGCAGTTAGCATAATGGCTATGTCTCTGTATTCTCATGTAGTAGACCGCGGTTCAAGTCCTGTTCCCGGTGGCTTAAACTCACGCTGGGCCTGAGTACATGTGTGTGTGCCCAAGATCCCAAGAGGAGAAGGGGCTGTGGTGTGGCTACCCCCCCGGGGGGTGATTTCTCCCTTTCTGTCTCTCTGTCTCTGTCTTTCTGGCGAGCGCCCGCGCCCTATAGCAAAAATCTCTCCAAAAAAAAAAAAAAAGATATTTAAAATATATCAGGTCTTAGAAAATAAAATAATACCTCTTCAAATTTGAACTCATACATTTTTGCTTTTCAGATTGATTGTAAATGTTAAAGTGAAGTGATGTCAAAGACATGAGAGTTAAATGTCTCAAATTACTGTTTTATTACCATGGTGAATAACCAAATTGAGATTACAATTATGAACTTAAGTGTTTGAGATTAAAATGAAAGCCTACAAAAGGTATATGAAAACTTCAAAAATAAATACCCTTTACCTTATGCTGAAATTCATCTTTAGCTTCTATGTTTTCCTCTTTATGCAAATTCCTGGATGTCTCCTCAGAAGATTTCATTTTTAGTGTGTTTATTGTTTCTTGATGTTGTTTCAAAGACTCGAGAGCATTTCGTAATTGTTCCTGAGTATCTATGTTCTTTGTCGGAGACATATGAAGAAATTTCCATTAGAATGAATCAATTAAGGTGATTTTATAGTTACTACTTGATCATAAATAAATGACGGCTTTTGTAAGTTTTTTTTCTTTTTTCTTTTTTTTGGGAGGTTTTTCACTATAGGGTGTGTGTGCTTGCCAGACAGAGAGAGACAGAGAGACAGAAAGTGAGAAACCACCCCCCAGAGGGGATGGCCACACCACAATCCCTTCTCCTCCATTCTCCTCTTGGGATCTTGGGCACACACGCACACACGCCTAGCGTGGGTTTTAAGCCACCGGGTCCGGGACGTGAACCGCGGTCAACTACGTGGGAGTCCAGCGACATAGCCATTACGCTAACTGCTGGTTCCCGGCTTTTGTGAGTTTTTAAAGGGGTTCTGACTTTTCAAGGTGTACTCATTTCAAGCCTTACCGCACTTACGGCCTCCTGAATATCGCTTTGGAGTTGGTCTCTCTCAGTTTGCAGGCTCTCCTGGAGCTGTTTTAATTCACCTTTTTCTTGAGTTAAGATTCTTACTTCCTCTAAGGTTTGCTGAAGTTTGTCAGTTATCAGCGTTTTCTCCTTTTCCATAGTTTGCAGCCTAGAATTTCTATTTTCTAATTGTTCCTTCAGCTGCTCCATTGCATTGGCTCTTTCTTGACCCTCGGTTGTTTTCTGCTGAAGTTCTTGGGTAGCATGAGAGAGCTTTAAAATGAGAAAAAGCAGATGTGACACAGGAAACCAGGACATTCTATGACAGAGAGAGAGACCAAATCCCAGAAGATCATTTCTCTAGACAGCATCTTAGACCAACCTCAGTTTTCAGAGCATCCAGACTTAAACTAAATTTTTGCGTTTCTTGGGAGAAGTTTCCAATTTCCTGATTCATTTTCTCATTTTCCTCAAGAACCATCTTATACTTTTGCTCAAATTGCATATGCAGGGTTTTGAAATCCTGTAACTCTTGATCAGTGTTTTTATAATTCAACTCGGTTGCTGCTAGGATGTCTTTAGTTTTCTCAATTTCTTCAAGTAAACTTTGAATTTTGCTCTCCTTAGAAACTGCTTCGGAAAACAATCTGTCTTTTTCTGACGTTATTACATCGAGTTCTTCAGATTTATCATGTATCTGGGGGGGGAAAAGTCATAGGGATATTAGTAGCATAGGACCCATGAAAGCAATTTTCAGGAAAAAATTTTTTTCTCTGAAAAAAAAAAAAAGTCATTTAAATGAAGAAAGGCAAAACTTCTTTATTTTTAAAGTTCATTTCTTTCTTTTATGAAAGTGAGAGAGTGAGAAAGACAGACAAGCACCTTTGTAAAGGTCCCATGCCACGGTCCTCCCCACCAGCCTTTCTAGGCAGTCACATCACGGGTGACATGTCACCCAGAACGGCAATACTTTTACTCTAAGATTTCTCTAACGTAAGCGTCAATGTTCTGTTTTCTAACGTCTTTGGAGTCTAGTATAAATTTCCTAGAGAACAATTAGGATGTATCTTTTTCCTTCATCTATCTTTCTGGAGTGTTTGCTAACTATCACGTGACAAGCATTTCATGGTTTTTCTCAGAACTGGACTTACTTGGTTTTTCTAACTTCTTAAATGTGGCTCAGATTCCTAAAAACTTAACCCGTGAATTATTTAAATAATGTTCAATTGTTTAGAATTACAACAGAAAATGCATGATTTAAATTACTTAATGATTAGTAATTAATAATTACCCATATAATTTAAATAATGCATATTCAGTTTACTAATAGTTTAATTATTGTGAAAGATAAAGGTAGAGGGAGATAATAAAAAGAGAGAAGAGACAAAGAAAATACGAATAATTTAGGATATTGATTATTTTTTTTTCCTTAGGTTTTTGCCATTGAGTGTATGCACTTGTTGGAGAGAGACAGAGAGAGGGAAAGTGAGAAATCACCCCCCAGAGGGAATGGCCATGCTGCAATCCCTTCTCCTCCATTCTCCTCCTGTGATTTTTGGCCTGCATGTGCGCACACAAACACACACACACACCAAGCGTGATTTTCAAGCTGCCGTGTCTGGGACTTGAACTGTGGTGGGCATATATGGGAGTCCAGCACCGTAACCATTACACTAGCTGCTGGTTCCTCGATACGGATTATAATCATAGGCCTAGGAGGTAGATCTGAGTGGCTCAACTAGGAGCTTGATAAACTGCTGGAGCTAAAAACTACTTTAAAAGAGCTGATAGGACTAAATACTTCTCAAGTTCCTTGGCGTGATGCTTGCCTGTGTGAAGTGCTCAGATTCCTGCCACTTTGAGTTCTTTCAGAAAGACAGGAAAGGTCGGCAGACCATCGATTTACAAAAGCATCCCCCAGCCTGCAAAATCCATGTTGGCCTCTAAAATTTCATCCATGCTACCCCTTTACCTCACTAATCTCTTTTATTCAACACAGTGATAAAACTAGTACCCCCAAAAAAGAAGGTGGGAGGGAATAGGAAGAAAAGGAAAAGACTAAGGGTAGGCCATAGAGCAATTAAAATGCAACCTTTGAGGGCTACAGAAATGGTACAGATCAGGTTACTAAGTACAATATTAAATATACTCTGGAAATACATTTTTCATCTAGGAACAAAAGAATAAACGAGAAGACAAACTATCTATGTGTCTCCACTGTTAACACAGTGAATCAAAGGTTATCTCAAAGTGAACGGAAATGGGGAAGGCTTTGCTGCACAGCCGTTTTATTTCAGAAGAAGGGTTAAAACGGTTACCTCTTTCCTCAGCATCTCTACTTCAGAGGGTAAAGATTTTAATTCTGAGAGCAAGTTTACTTCTTTCCGCAAAGCTTCATTGTCTTCAGCTGCTTTATTCAGTTCTTTTCGGAGGTCAGTAATCTTTCTTTCCAATTCCAAATTGCAGAGCACATCTAGTAAGATATTTTTTGTAAATTAAACAGAGAGCTAATGTTGGCAAACGTGTAATCTAACTTTTAACAGTTCTTGAATCACTTTCTTTAACATCCGGTCCAGTTCCTTTGAAAAATAACTTTTAAGCCTTTATGATGGGATGCCCATGAAAATCTTTAAAAAGACTAATAGCAAATGATATTAAAACAACATTAAATATTAAAAAAAATTAATCCTTGGAATGCAGTTGTCAAATTGTTTAGGTACATTTCTAGAGGAAGTTAGATTTGCAAAAAGATGTCTGAAATTATAAAATACCTTTTGGAACTTTGCCATCTACAAGGGAGGTGAGTTTTGTTATTTCATTAAAAGCAGATTGTAATTCTTTCTCTAGATCAACTTGCATTTTCTTTTTTGTCTCCAACTGGCTTTGAGATAACTGAATATCACTTTCCATTTGCTTGCATGCATTCGCGAGTTCTTTCTATTGAGAGAAACACTGCAAGTTCATAACAGGTGCTGACGCTGCAAGTGTTTTATTTTAAGTACTATGAAAGCTATTACCATTTTCTCTTTTAGCTCCAAATTTTCACTTCTAAGAAAGGCTGATTCTCTCTTGGCATCAAGGGCTACAGTTTCAGCATCAAACAGTGTCTGTTTCATTTGTTTTAGATCCTCGGTGTTCTCCTAAACAGATGTTGAAGGGATTTGGTGAGCTCTAGTATTTGTAGAGTTGGAAAGTACTTTAGAAAACATACACATAAATATTATTCCTAACTAATCAAAATGAACGAACATATTCTAATCACCAAATAAGTAAAATAAATTTACTTAACATACATATTTTAAAAAATGCTGGCCTTATTTTCCCAAATTATAAGAGTAATGGATGGAAGTGAAAGTATTATAAATTCAAATCTGTTACCGTTTAATAAAAGGTTAACAAAATATTCAGCTAGGTTGTTGAAGTTCCTTAAGTATTTTTATTTTAAGCTATTTTCTTCAACTTATGACAGGAGAGTGGTTACTTAAAATTAAGTACCTAAACCACAAACTGAAAAGAAAAACTCAAACCATACAGTAGAAGAATGGAGGAAAGATATGAACAGGCAACTCATGGAAGAGAAAATGCACATGAAAAATACACGAAAAGGCCTACAGCCTCATTTTTAGCAAGAATAGTGTTTTAACATGACTTTAGTTTACATGAATTCAACCGTATTGGCAAGAAACGAATACTAGGATACTTGAAAAAGTTTGTGAAAGAATGGAAGTATGAGTTTAATTTGATGAAAAGAAACAAACTAAAATTCATGATTAGTTTTTTCATAACACACATTTCCCATGACTTCTTTTTGAAGACCCTTGCACATGAATGAATGAATGAATAAAAAAGAAGTAAAAAGTTTTTAAGAAGTGGCCAGCTCTGCTTGACTCTCTAAACAGAGGCTCCAGGAATGTAGTGAAGTGCCTTTTCCCCGGGGCCTCAGAATGGTGGGATGTCAAATGGTGTGAACTGCTTTTTTAAAAAGCGTGCTGGTGGGGCCAGCGAGTGGCACAGTGGTTACAGTGCTGGACTCCCACAGGGCTGACTACAGTTTGATTCCCAGACCTGGTGGCCTGAAACTTATGTCAGGCGTGTGTGCGCCCAAAATCCCTGTGGCACTGCCATCCTCCCTGGAGGGGGATTTCTCACCTTCTGTCTCTCTGTGTCTTTGGGGAGCACACATGCCTTATACAAAAATCTCTTTCTCTAAAGAAAAAAAGCAAGCTGGTTGGTACCACTTCTGGGCAGCCTGAGACCACATGGGCAGCTGGGCTGGACTCCCAGTGCTCTGCAGAAGATAGGCACCAGGGTGCGTGCCTGTATCTCTGCGGCTTTGGGGGCTGAGGAAGGAGGCCTGTAAGTTCACAGCCAGCATGGACAACCTGGAGAGACTCTGAGAAGCTGGGATGTGGTGGGTGCACTTGTAGTCTCAACTACAAAAGAGACTGTCTTGAGTTCTGAGATAGTAAAAATGAGTGTTTTTAAGACAGTGAGATGCTGTCTTCAAGACAAAAGGGCCAACCCCAAGGTGTAGGGATTAAGGGAACTGATTCCACATGGCTGACCAAGGTTCAAATTCTGTCCTGAAACTGAAAAACATGCTGGGCACATATGCTTGTGTGCCCCAAATCCCATCCAATGGGTGAATGGAGAAGTGACCATACTCCATGGTGGTGTGCTTTCATCTGCACCCCCACCCCCGCCTCTTTCTGTGCCCTCTGGCAACTTAAAAAAAAGAAAAGAGGAAAAAAGTTAAAAAGGTCAAAAACATTGTAAAAATAACACTCAAATGAAAATAACAGACCGGGACCAGCAGTTATCATAATGGCTATATTGCTGGACTCCCATGTAGTCGACTGTGGTTCGAGTCCCGGACCTGGTGGCTTAAACTCACGCCGGGCGCATGTGCATGCGTGCCCAAGATCCTGAGAGGAGAATCAAGGAGAAGGAATTGTGGCGTGGTCATCCCCCCCTGGGGAGGTGATTTCTCACTTTCTCTCTCTGTCTGTCTGGTGAGCGCACACGCCCTATAGCGAAAACCTCTCCAAAAAAAAAAAAAAGAAAAGAAAATAACAGACCTAAAACTAATATTGAAAAATTCCTGCTAGAAACTATTGCCTGTTAAAAACTAGACCAAAACTGATACTTTTTAAAAGTAACCAGGTACATTGAAAGCAAACTGAAAGAGGTCAACAATTTTACCAGAAGCTTCGGCATTATTTAATGCCAAGATCTCCTATCGACTAAAATCATCCAGAGATACACATTTCTTAAAAAGACTCAACAAACTCCTAATGTAGGTTAAAGTACACCAGAATGCATTAATATATATTAATCAAATGAAATTAACGAGACTTTGGAAGTCATACTCCATTACGTATGACATATATCTCATAGTTGTTATCATTCCAACATTAAGTGTTCATCTTGAGATCTTAACTTCATAAAACTTGCATTTGTATAAAACTGAAAAAGAAAGAAAAAAAATGAAAATACTTTTGGACTGCTGACTTTTAATGGGAACCTATGCCTAACCTCCTTACACTTCTTCACTCCAAGAATGATAATGCTCAACTCTATGAATGTTCTCCCACCTGTAAGATGTCAACGAGACCAAGAGTCTTTACCTCACAGTTACAGTTCGAGAAGACCCATGTAAGCAGCTTACATCAGTGCCCACCACCTCGCAGACCTAGTAAAAGCTAATTTTCTAGGACGACGATGATGGTGCACTATGAATGCCAATATGATTACACAATGAAATAAATCTGACTTTTACCGATGACTGCGATAAATCCGCTGTTATGTTTTCTGACTTCTGAGAGTCTATGTATTTCTGTAGCTTCTTGATCTGGTCTTCCTTTTCTCTAAGCAGCTCTACTTTTGAACTTAGCTCATTCTGAAAGAATCAAAAGAGAGTGAAACACAATTTAGAATCTGTCTTGAGTTCTGAGATATTACAAAGGAAAATACATATATAATAGTTTACATTGATAACTTATTCGTATTTTATCATATGAGCCCCTTATTTTCTAAAGTTGAAGCTGATCACATATGATGTATGGTTTACAGTTCGGGTTACATATCAATAGAAATACCAACATGAGTGCTCACCTCGAGGTCTTGGTTATACAGTTCTGCATGCTTAACTAAATTCTTTAAGTTGGAAATTTCATGAATTAGTTGCATCTGTAAGAGCACGTGAATAGGCAACAGAGCAAACCAATAGTTAATAAAGCAGAAAAAAAAAGAAAAAATAAGTCACCCAATACCCAACATAGAAGGGACTGAGAGATCAATTGTTTAAGCCACTACAACAAAGCACATCATTATTTAAAAATACAAGAAATCCCAACCAAGCAAAGAATACTAAAGATCTCAGCATGACTCCAATAATAGTTATGTCATCTGTTAATAAAGTTACAGTAGTGTCAATAGCAAATTAGTATGCACCACTTGAAGGAGACAGTAAAGTGGTAATCAAACTTAAAAAAAAATACACTTTTAATACATTTTTGTTTTGGGTAAGTTAAGTGTAGAAATGCATGCTTCCTGTATTTTCCTTTTCACAAGTTATTCATCCAGCTCTATACTAATTTACTCTATAATGAGTTGTGAATTGGAATCCAGGTTTCAATTACGGTCCCTGTGTGTGGTGCCTTTACGACGTCATCCCTGTTCAGTGTTACAGAGGCGTCACCGTCACCTGTTGTTATAGTCCACAATCGATATCAGAAAGGTGATGACATTGTTTTCTAGTGTTCAACTGTCTGGAAGTCTAAAGGTACAGGTATTTCTACCAGATTTCCTTTCTATCAAAGTACATACAGCATTAAATATTTGAATATCAAAATATTGTTTGTTCAAAGCAGGTAAACTATAAGTTACCAAATGCCAACAATTTTCTCTTTGAATTACTTAATCTTCATTATCAGGTGAGCCCTTAAAGAGCAAAATCAAACCCTAACTAACATAATGTTAAAGACTTCATAGTATCCTGTTCCAATAATATTTACTAGGTGTTTAATTCAGTCTTGACTAGTTTTAGATTTCAGACTAGGCAGTATTCCTATCTTAGGTCTGTCTGCCAACAGAAACATGACACGAGTCACATATGGAATTTTTACTTTTATCATTGGCACATTAAAAAAAAAGAAAAAGAAACAAGTAGAATTAACTTCAATACTATATCTTACTTAATCTAATGTATCCAAAATATTTTCATCCCTCCATGCAATCAAGGCCAAAAAATAAAGTATTTTACCTTCTTTTTTTTCCCCCCATATTTAAGTGGATGCTGACTGGCCACAGTTCAAGTGGCGACCCTACTGCAGAGCACTGTACTATAAAGCATTGATTATATTCAATAATTTACACCGGCTTCATCTTTCCCCTTTTCTCTCTGTTTATTTCTGACCTTTGTGCTAGAAAATCACATTTACCCATAGGGAAGAACCAAACAATCAGTCCTAACTTTCTAAAACATTTAGAAAAGAACCATAAGAGGGAACCAGCAGTTAGCGTAATGGCTATGTCGCTGGACTCCCACGTAGTCAACTGCGG